CCCCAAAACCCCAAAACCCCAAAACCCCAAAACCCCAAAACCCCAAATACAAGCTAGTGGATTGAATCGAATAAATTTTAAATTAAATATGAAGCTAAGAAATCAAGGATTTTCTAAAAGGAAAAGCCTCATGAGAGCCTTAATGACCATCATGGTGGTCATTGTCTTTGTTAACAGTGCTAGAGCAGTCCATGAAATCTTCCTAGGTAAGTTTAGGTCATTTAGGCTCTTATTAAGATTAATGAATATTCAGTTTCATCATGAATCAAGGATGTAACCTGCTCAGGTATCCTGAGCAGGGTCCCCTTGCTGAGATTTCTCAGCTGGGATTTATTCTCATTGGTTTAAGCAGTAGTAATATACATTCTTTATAGATGATGGAGTTGAACTAAGACAATACATTAAAGACTACAACCACAATATCTCTGTCACGGTGTGGTTCAAGCACTTGAGGTTCGACAGCGAGCAAAATAAGAGAAACTTGATGGCTACTGCCTCTCTCCAGAAGGCTATTGACAACTTCCACAGAAACAGTGGCATTGTCTATGCTGAGGCTGATCTCTCTGAGTACAATCCAGATAAAGCAGATTCCTTCGAGTTTATTGCCTATCAATGGCACATTAATGTCAGGCATCTCAATGAAGGCCCAATGATCATGGTACTTATGGAAGGAGATGGAGAAGTCTTCTGGGCATCTGATGATGTCCCGATCATTGTTCTCCTTGAAAAGGTCGATGCTGCTATTGGAAGATTAGAGAAGAATAACTTAGGCATAGAACCGGAAAAAGCTATGATTACCATTGACGAATCTGATATTAGCGAGTTTGAAAGACTTAATCCTTGGAACAAGCATAAGGATATTCCTCTACCACAGGAACATCAAAAGGCCAAGCCTAAATTTAACCTCAAGGAGCCAGAGAAATCATTTGTCTAAGCTTAATTTGTTGATTTGACAAAATTGCAGATAAATATTGTCTTAAATGCAACATTAAAAATCTGGGTTGTTTCATTCTGCTACTAATTTTCTGGGCTATTCTTCACAAGCTTTGAAGCTTACATTGCCTTTAGATCATGGGTATTTTTAGACCATTTAGTCTAGATGTGTATTTACCACCCCTTTTCAGGTTGACTTTTGAGGGCTAGTAATTAGAAAATTTACACTATGATTAAGAATCAGATCATTTGGAACTCCCTAAAAACCAATAATTTCAAATGTTCAATCATTAAATTTTTATTTGGGGTTTTGGGGTTTTGGGGTTTTGGGGTTTTGGGGTTTTGGGG